GTAACTGAGCCTTGGGGGTCTTTGGCCTTTGGATGAGGAGCTGAGAACAGGCATCTCTGAAGATGAGAACTGACTCACAGGCGCTGAGGTGGGCTGTGTGCATATGGTGCAGAGCTGCTCAGAGTCTAGACTCGCGTCGTGTTGCTCTGAAGGAGTTCTGGTGGAGGCGAGAGAGTGTTAGATGAATCTTGAAATGTATGGAATGCTAAAAATACTAAAAAAAAACCCCATGAAAGGTTGTGTGGAAAAAGATCAAGATGTTGGAAATCACAGATTAAATCATGGGTATCAATTTCACTTGCTAAATCATCATATCCACCTAATGGACGTGGTCTTTATCGTGTTTGCTGGTCCTGCTTGTCTCTGTGAGTAGAAATACCCCCTTCTGCACTGGGGTTTGCCCATCTCCTGCATATAGCTGCTCAAGCCTGGCATATGCAAGTCTCTGGATGAATTCTATTGAAGAGGCTTTCACATGTGCATGACTCCAAGAGCACTCAAAAAAAGTGCCACAGTGTCATAGTCATTCAAAACCGTATTTGGAGAGGAAAGTGTTTTAATACCTGCATATAAAATAAAGTACATCCATTAGAATAGTTCTCCCAGAAATGAGAAGTGGAGATTCATTTGAGTCCTTTCTGAATCAGGAGAAATTTGCATCTCCCATTTGCTACTCAGTTCTACTTTCTACAAGCTGTGGACATGAGAGATACAGAGGCTAACTTTTGTATCCTGGTGGGACCAGTCTTCCAGAGAGTCATTCCAATTATCAGAGAATTTCTCTTGTTTCCCTTTTTCTCAAAGCCTGTTTAGAATAGATACTGTGATTTTAGCTGTTCTGAGTAACCTTGAGAAGTTAAAAAGACTTCTTTGCACAGACTGTAGAGCTAAGCTAGGGAAACTTGGTGCATGGGTTGAAATAAAGCTTGTCCTCATCCCCTTTGAATACCATTATTTGGTCTTGCTATTGAAATAAAGCTGGCCAGGTATTCAAGATTTTGAGATCAAGATTGCTCTTACGATTCTTGTAGCCTGTAGTTATTTGCAGGGGAGGACATCCTAAGTTCTAATTTGCTTTGTCATTACTGTTTATATTGTCCAACAGCTCTTTTGCACAACCTGCAGCTCTGGAACAGTTTCCAAGAAAAACATGGTGCTGTGCTAGTCAGAAAATTATATGGACTTTGTCAGTGAGTAGTAGGTTTGTTATCAAGGTATTCCCTAGCCATGTATAATTTCACCCATCAGCAAAGCTATTCATTCTTCTGTTTAAGCGAAGACCATGTTTAGATTATCACTGAAAGAGGGATATAGCAGTCAAAGACATGAGCAGTCCCCATGTGCTTCCTTCTGGCCCTCTTTCTTCCTGTTCAGAGGTGAACATTCCACAGCTGAGCTGGAAGAAGAGAGTGTTTGGTATCCATAATTTTTTCCATGTCAGTGTCATACATTGTAATTCAAGACACTGCTGATGGCACTTTGAAGTTCACTGTGAAAACTTGGCATAGATGTAGATGAGGGAGTTCTCAAAAGTTTAATTCTGCCTGGAGATTCTAGGTCTTGATTGCCTCCAACCTGGGCAACTGACATCTCCATTGCTCTAACTAGGTCTGGAAGTAAATGTCTTCTAGCTATATTTAAACAGTTCTGAGTGCAAATTTTGGTTTAGCTTTCTCAAATAAATGAGGTGTGTTCACTAACATATTGCAGGTGCATCACAACTTTGTATTTTCATCAAGTTCTTACACGGAGAATGGCACGGCAAAGGGCTGATCTCAGCCAGAGCCTCTATGTCTTTATCATGTAACATTCTAAAATTCCTTGAGAATAATATAAAAGTATGCATATTCGTGATCCTGTGACCTCACAGATGCCAGATGTGTTGATTTTGGAAAACACTTCAAAGAGCTTGAATTCAGCTTAAATACTTGCCATGCATAGGAGAAGCAAGAGTGCATATATCTATATATATACAGATATATACAGTGTGTGTATATAAAATTATATTTACATATTTGGAAGTAGAACAGCTGTTTCTACTTCTTCTTCATCTGCTTACTAAAGTTTTACACGCTCTTTCCATGATGCTGGTGCTGTAGCTTAGGTAAGAGAATGAATGTATGCTAGAGCCACGGTAATGATCACCCTGTGGCTCTAGCTGTTTTCAGGATTATCTGATTTATATGTCAGACAGAATAATAATGTCATTGGTATCATTCCCTTTCTTGTTTTTCATTTTAAAAATGTTATTTCTTCTTTCTCCACACATGGAATCATTTTCAGGTTTTAGTACCAGATGTTTACAGATGAGCTTTCCATGGTCTGAGCTCAAAATCAATATCAGCTGGAATTTTAAAGATAGGGTTATTTTCCTATGTTGTTGGGTCATGAGTTCTTCTAGTATTTTTCTCCAACAGAGATCTCTTTTTGCATGGTTGGAATCTTTTCTGCAGTTTTCTTTCTTCTTCAAGCATCACAATCTCATTTGTCAGAAATAGCCTCCTTTTGTGCTCTCTAAAGATAGATATTAATGTCATGCCACCAATCCCTTTTGTTTCAAGAGCTTTCAGTGTTTTCACAAATTTTTGAAGTAGTTGATTGTGCCATTAAACTGTAATTAATTAACATATTCTATATTGATATTCTTGTAATTTATAATCTCCATTTCCTTTTGTAAAGCATAGTAACATATCTCTGAAAGTTGGTAGTTGTGCCTTGACTTTAGATATAAGCTATTTTGTGAAGTTTTCACTTTAAGACCACGGCTCACAGTTCTTTCATTTGTGCTGATGCATCTGGTTTTAGAATTGAATCACTGAATTACATTAATGGAGGGGGGGAAGTAATTTTAAAAGGGAACATCTCAGTGATGCAATTTACATTGCAGCTATACAAACAGATTTATCAGCACAATTGGGATGGAGGCAGATTGTACCAGGAGGATCAGAATTAGCAGCTGGGGCAGAAAGCTTGTTGAGAGAAAATTGCTCAATTATTATTAGAGGAGCTGAGCTGTTTCCTTTGTTTTCTGTTGTTAAGGTGCCTTCCTGCTCCACCTTTGCCCTCTTCCCCTAATTTAGGTAAATTCTATTTTTTAAAAAGTCTTTTGTCACAAAGAATTGAAAACATTAATCTCTTAGATGAAGGTGTTTAGTTTCCAGATTGTGACAGCAAAGTGATTTCTGACTTCAGATTCAGCGATGACAAGGGCTCTCTTGATTCTCTTCCAAATCTTTTTTTGTGAAAGTTTGGAAGAAAAATGTGCTTAGATCAAGCTAGTATTTATATGCTAAGAGTCAGAGAATTTCATCTGGGCTAGTTCTTTGTGGTGTGTGGGAGAAGTAGCAGGTAGCACTATTTGCCTTTCGTTTGCAGACCCATGAAAAGGAGAGCATTTCCTCCAGGGGTAGCTTTGGGTGCGTCCCCATGCAGCTCTTTCTGAGCTTCTTCTTTGGGAAGAGAGAAAAAAGTAACACAGATTTTTCTCTGTTTGAAGTTTTTTTACAAAGTACCATGTTTTAACTTGCTGTGGAGCATGAGCTCTGAGAGTCTGGCTTTTGTGCTGTTATTTTACTTCCAAAGAACTACAAAGCAGGAAACAAACCCCTCTCTGAAAAAAATGCCATGTGCATTTTCACACTCAAAAATGTTTGGCTCAAGTTTGGTTTGGGCTACACTCTTCTTTTTTGTTACTTTCCACCGAAGATTAGTTCCTTCCAAAAGGTTCTCTTTTATTTGCCAACCAGTGTTTGAAAAGTGGGTATGATCTTAAACTGTTTTCCTAGACAATGCTATTAAGCATTTAAGAATTGTCTTCATCAAAGGTATCATGATAATCGTTGTGTTTCTAAGAATAGTTTAGTTTTGTACAGAATGTTGGGATTTTTTGCTATTTTTCTGACATGAAGATGCATGACCTGACCACAGACTGGTTCTTAAGAATGGGTTCTTAGGGTGGGTGTGCTTTGTTTGGCTTTTTCTTTCCTTTTTAGTAAAGGGGAATTGCTTAAATACAGTTGTATGATTTCTGTCCACAATACAGATAAATGTGAAGGAAAGAGTGGCACATCTCTGTGAAAAAGTTCTAAGACAATACCAAAAGATAATCATACTTGGAAGAATATCAACATTTTAGCTTTTTTCCTCAAAAAAAGATGTATTTTCTAAAATGGAAATTGGCCTAAGAGGTTTGAAAATGAGCTGCATCTGGCAGTTGGAATACTTTGACAAGTTCCTTTTTTGCTGGGTGTTCAGATGAATAAACTTAGCTGGAATTTGGAAAAAAAAATTCAATGTCACTGACTTGCTTTGGAAATTGCGTAAGAGTATGGTCATATGTTTGTTGCTGAAAAACAGTTGCAGAGATAATGAAGAGTTAGTTCACCTCAAATGTGGTGCTTGACTGACTTGCAAACTCTCCATCCTTTGTGGGAGAAGGTCAGATGGGTTCAGGTAAACCACTGCCAGGACTTCTTTAATCCTTAGTGACTAAAAGCATCCAAACAAAGTCTTCTTTGTGAAGGAGTTCTATAAGAAAGAGATATCCAACAAACAAAATTTGATGAAATTATTTAAATGCAACTTATAGTTAAAGTATTAGGAAGGATCACAAATGAAATTATTGGTGCTTTGTATGAAGATTGAAATTGCTAGACATTTCATGGTTATTTTAAATATATTGTAATGAAAAGAAAATCTGGTTTAGCATTTGTACTTTGCTTTATTGTTGTTTATTAAATATTTCTGCAAGGGGAATTTCATTTCTCTATTATGCTATTTCACCATATAAAAGTTATTTTTGGTATCCAGATAGTGCTGAGCTAGTTACATTTTTATTAGCACAGGTCAGAAGAGAGGAAATGGTCAGTAAGTTTTATGGCTGAAATTCGTGTAAAATCCAATATCTTTTGTTACATTTGGATCTAACTCCATAAGTGCTGTTGGTGTGTTAATGTAATGACTTTTGCAGTTAATAATTTTCTAAAATGTGTTGTTTCTAGGTCTACAGACAAGACTGTGAAACCTTTGGCATGGTAGTGAAGATGCTAATTGATAAAGATCCATCATTAGAGAAGTCCATTCAGTTTGCCCTGAGGCAGAATTTGCATGAAATAGGTGAGAGATGCATTGAAGAACTCAAACATTTCATTGCTCAGTACGATGCTGCCAACCAAGATGTATCAGAGTCCTTCAAAGAGGGCTCATACTAAGGACAAAAATATGCTTTTAGATCCTCTGCATCGTGTCTGCCATAGTACATAAATCTGCTTTTTGTGGGGAAAGAGGAACTTCTGTTCGAGATTTGAACCCAAGGCCTGTGCTCCTTTCTAATAGCTCAGGTGACTGTTCCCTTCTCCACTGTGGTCTCCATGATTGTATTCATCCTACCTGTTCTTGTTGACATATTCCTTTGAAAGGATGTTCTTTTCAAAAATGCTGTAAAGCAACGAACTATTTTTAAAACCTTACGCAGTTACCTTGGAAAAAATGATCCGTCTGATGTCTGTACACTTATGTTTTGATGCTTACAAGTGTAACTTGAAACATTGTATTTTTTATTAAAATTTCATGAAACCCCTCTCATTCCTCAAGTTATGCACAAATATGTCTTGTCATCATACATACTATACGAAGGAAAAACTTACAAAATTGGTCACAATTATGATTTAAATTATTTATTCTGGTTTAATTCAAAAAATAAGATGAATTCTGTAAAATTACACTTGGGTTTATCTCTAGTCTCTGACTGCCAGAGTAATTAACTACTTGATGTGGAAAGTGCTGTGTTTTTGTTCTAATTGCGGGTTCTACAAAATGCCTTTTAAATTTTGGTGTTTTCCATATCATGACTCATTACTAGTAAGCAGTATTATGGAGGATGGATTCCATTTTTTGTTACTGTTTGCTCTGCTTTTAACTACACTGTACAGAATGTAGCTGTAGGCAGCCACTGAGCAGGGAAAGGTCACTTTTCCTACTCTGTTGCTCTCCCCACTTATAACTTCTCAAGCCTTTTCATCCATCAGTTTTAACAATAAGGAGGCTGTGTGTAATCTTTATTTCCAACCTGGAGAAGGAGCGGAATTGGGATGTCAAGGATGGACAAGGAAAGTGAGCAGGACCATCTCTCCAGTAAATCCAGGTGTCTTGGTTTGAAAAGACAGGTGTCTGCTAAGGAAGGCAGGAGCCCCTGTTGAAATGGAGAATGTAAACCCCCTCCCTCTGAATTATTATAATTTTGAAATTAAGGGACTTTCAGGCAAAGATATGGGAATAGGAGTAACAGTTCTTTACTAGGAAAATTAAAATAAAAATGCAGTAATACAAAACAACACTGACAGTCAGAATACAACCTGACACCCTGTTAGTCAGTGTGTTGGTAGCAGTCTGATTTAATGGGGGCTGCAGTGCTTCTGCAGTGACAGGTGTGGTTCTGTTGAAGCAGTGATCCTGTAGAAGGGTGTAGTTTTCCTCTGAAGGTCCAGTTGTGGTGTAGATGGGCCTGGTCTTTCTCTGGAAATCCAGTGGGAAAAGGCTTCTCTGGTATTCCAAATATCAGATTTTTATCGAGGTAGGAATGCTTGGCTCCTCCCCCTGGGTGGAACATCTCACAATGAGATGATGTCATTTTCAGTCATGCAGTGAGACTCAATGGCCCATTAACAGAAGACCTCTCCCTGGACTGAGGATGGGTCCTGGAAGAGATAAAGAAAACTGCCCCACCTGGTTTAACAGCTGGCCCATTAACAGGATATCCCCCCAGAGTTATGAGGGATGGGTCATGGAAGAGATAAAGAACACTGCTCCACCTGGTTTCAACAGATGGTGATAGAATACATACTTGTGGTGACATCTTCATTGCAACCTAAGACACCAGGTTGCTTTCAATTAGGTGGAACACAAAGTTTATCCCTATGTCCTTGTTTTCACTATCACTTCAAACCTAGGTGATTCTGGTTAGTCTGGCCCCACTTTTGACCTGATAGAACAACTTGCAGTTTGGGAACAGTGGTTGAGGAAAGCCAAGAGGTTCCCAGTGAAAAAATATTTAGGATGTGGTGGAATCCTGATGAATACATTTATTAAGGTACTGTTTTTTTTATGAACATTTTAGGAAAGTGATAATGTGAGTCATAATCACAAGGAGGTAAGTATAAGCATGATTGTTTTATACACATTTGCATTTTGAACATGTGAAACTCTGTAAAAGGATTAATAACCAAACTCATTTGGTTATTAAACCAAATTTCCAGATTTCATCAGTATGGTGTGCAGAAACACAAAGCAGCAATGATTTGGCGTATACAAGGTACTGTATGTATCACAGCATCTTACACATGCAAATCTTGATATGGTATATTAAATATGTATTGCATCAGATTCCTGAGATGCCTGGTTAGTTCTCATGTCAGTAAGGGGAAGTTTTGCAGTTGGCTTTTGTTTTCTAAGAGTTCACGTTGCAACTACCCTTGTTAGCATCTGGGATTGTGTGGGCTGCACAGTGAGTGGGAATCAGCTCATGGATCCTACAGGATGCCAATTTGGGGAGGGAGAGAGAAGAGAGGCAGGCTGTTGTGATATAGTAGTGAGACCTGATCTACTCCTTCAGGCAACAACCTGGTTTACTGAGATCAGTCAGAGTCTTCTCTGATGCAGAAGCATAACTACAGCACTTCACTACTTGCCTACAGGACTGAGAGCCTTCAGGATGTTACATCTGAGTTTCTACTTTGGGTTAGAAATGCTAATGGAAAAAATAATAAAATTGTGTGTAATATATTTTTTATTAAAAATTGCCATTGTTACTGTACAGTTTGTTAGGAGTTTCCTTTGTTAGAAGCCCAATTAAGTTTATTATACAAGTATCCAAGTTTTTCTGTAAAGTAAGGCCTAAGTTTACACTCATAGAATCATAGAATATCTCAGGTTGGAAGGGACCTTTAGTGTTGGTTGAGTGCATCTCCCTGCTCCTCACTGAACCACTATGAGCATTGTCCAGATGCTCCTTGAACTCTGGGGGGCTTGGGGCTGTACCACTTCCCTGGGGATCCTGTTCCAGTGACTAACCATCCTCTCATGTCCAATCTGAACTTCCCCTCATGCAGATTCATTCCATTTCCTTGAGTCCTGTCACGGGGCACCAGAGAGAATTCATTGCCTGCCCCTCTGCTGCCCACCCTGAGGAACCTGTAGAATGCAGTGAGGTCACCCCTCATTCTCATCCAGGGTCCTCCTTTCACCACCTTGATCACCCTACTCTGGGCACACAAATAGATTTATATCCTTATATTGTGGCAGCCAGAACTGCCCCCAGCACTGGAGGTGAGGCTGCCCCAGTGCAGAGCAGGACAATGCCCTCCCCTGCCCAGCTGCCAGTGCAGTGCCTGATGCACCCCAGGACAGGGTTGGCCCTCCTGGCTGCCAGGGCACTGCTGGTTTGAGTATAAGTTACCATCCATGGGGTCCTCCAAGTCTCTTTCTGCAGGGCTGCTATCCAACTCCTCATTCCCTAAATTTTACAGAAAATCAGGACTATCCTGTCCCAGGTGGTGAATGTAGCTCTTGCCCTTGTTAAACTTCATGCAGCTGGTCATTGCCTCCCAGCTCCTTGGTCTGTTCAGATCTCTCTGCAGGACTTCTCTCCTCTTGAGAGAGTCCAGAGCTCCTCTCAATTTAGTATCATCAGCAAACTCACTCAATGGACATTTGACTTGTCTATCTCCATTGAAGAGCCCTGTGGAGTCCCACTGGTGACCAGCTGCCAGCCTGAGGTAACCCCATTCACTATGCCTAATCATTTGCTTAATCTGATGTTTTTTAAAATTTATTAAACTTTACATGTGAACTAGGGAGTTTTTTTGAGTTTTTTGTAAGTGCTATTTCTGTGAAAGGTTTAATTCACATTTGTAAGTGATGAGTAACTGATTTTCCATCTAATACTTGGAATTGTGTTGAATGCTTGCATTTAACCTTCTGTGATGTAAGCTTTCAGTTGGTGTAAGTAAAATATAATATGGAAGTCCTTTAACTTAAGGAAGAAATATGGCTTTTATTCTTGCTTGCTTTACAAATATGTATTTTGGATTAGTTTCATGTAATGTAAAAAAAAAAAAAAATGTCCCTGGTCCAGTGGTCAGCCTCAGTGGGGCTCTGGAAAGCTGTAGGAAGAGAGTAAGTGCTATTTCTGTGAAAGGTTTAATTCACATTTGTAAGTGATGAGTAACTGATTTTCCATCTAATACTTGGCATTGTGTTGAATGCTTGCATTTAACCTTCTGTGATGTAAGCTTTCAGTTGGTGTAAGTAAAATATAATATGGAAGTCCTTTAACTTAAGGAAGAAATATGGCTTTTATTCTTGCTTGCTTTACAAATATGTATTTTGGATTCGTTTCATGTAGTGTAAAAAAAAAAAAATGTCCCTGGTCCAGTGGTCAGCCTCAGTGGGGCTCTGGAAAGCTGTAGGAAGAGCACTGGGGGAAGGAAACATGCTGTGATGGAGGAATTTAATTTGTCACCTTCAGAGCTCCTGAAAACAGAAATTACTCCTAGCACTTCTTAATGTTGCGGATACCCTTTTAATTAAAAAGAAGGTGGAAATTGAAGGAGTATGGAAATTTAGTGCTGTCTGCTGAGACTGAAGTGGTTACTTCTGTAACCTCACTTGGGCGAGTTGGCAGCTTTGAGTGACAATGTGAGCAGTAAAGGTGAAAATCAGCAACAAAACCACTGTTGATAGGAAAGGAGATAATGCCAGGTATCAGAGAAGGACCAAATCTTTGTCACCCTCTTGTCTGCAAGATTTTCAGTTTTGATGAGGATAGTTTTACCTTGGTATTTTTTACTGTCATGAAGGTTGTACTGGGTGTGGCTGGGATGGAGTTAAATGTTCTTCATAAAGGCTGGTGCAGTGCTTCAGGTTTTTCTGGAAACATAGTGATAACACTGGGATGTTTCAGCTGTTGCTGAGCAGAGCTTGCCCAGAGTCAAGGCCTTTTCTGCCTCTCAGCCCACCCCACCAGTGAGGAGGGTGGGAGTGCACAAGATGCTGGGAGGAAATACAATCAGGACAGCTGATCCCAACTGCCCACAGGTGATAGGGCATCATGCTTGGCATATAAAACTAGGGATAGGGGCAAGAGTTTGCCAGGGCTGCTGCTGTTCAAGGACAGGCTGGGTATTACTTGGCTAATGCTGAGCTGGTGAGTTTTTTGGTATCACTTCAGGGTTTTCTGTTTGGAGTTTGTTTTTCTCTATTAAATGGTCTTCAGCTCAGCCCATGAGTTTTCTTATTTTTCTCTCCTCCATCCCACTGGGGGTAGTGAGTAAGGAGCTGTGTCATGCTTAGGTGCCTGCCAGGGTATATGCTCCACTAGGAATATAGTTAATACTTCCAATAACTCTAACCACACTTTAGAGCTTTTGTGACTGTATCTGGTCACAGACACCATATCCTATATCATTTTCTTCAAGGTAGGGAAATCAATTAGAAACATTTCTCATAAGAGGTTGTCAAAAATAGTAAGACATACAAAAATGTATGTCAAGCTTAAAAAATAGAGTAATACGGTCATCTTTAAACTTAAAAAAAAAAGTGTTAAGAAGCAGTTAACAATCTAGGAGAACTAGTATTCTATAAGGTACTAACTACAGTTTGGGAGAGTGCATCTGCATGTCAGGAGATGGTGTGGCATCAGAGGAATTACTTGTGGAGACATTTCTCCGTGTCTCCAACATGTGACACAGCAGTAGTGGCACAGCATTTTGTTTCTGAGGATGCTGGTTTCCCATTTTTGGAAATGCAGGTGAGACTGGAAGGTCCTAATCATTATTGGAGCATCCTGGAGGAGGTTATGAACAAGTCAGCATCTCCAGCCCCGTAGCCCTGCAGTGTGGTGGCTGCAGCATGCTTGAGCCCAGCAGGGACATGGCTGCTGGGTAAGCTGCCTGAGCCCCGCAGCAGCCAGGTGGAAGCACCCCACCAGGCACCCAGGCATGGCTTTGATCAGCTTTCACCTCCACAAGACTGTGTGTACTAGGAAAGTGACTTATGTGGTGAGCACCACCTCTGGGAGGAAAGGATCTGCTGCTCATTTTACCCTGAAAAATACAAGCAATTAACTGCTAGTCTGCTTACCCTTACTAATAGCCTGATTTTCGTTGGTGCAAACTAGTGCTCATGTTCATTCTCTCCTTTACTTCTAGCTGCTTTTGTTTCCATACTTTTCTATCCTCAAGAAGGGCAAGCTTAGTAAATGCCACAGCCATTGGCTTTCTGACCACCTGAAGAAAGGAATTAAATGAAATAATAGACACTTCTTACCAAAAAAGCCTGTGAAATGGAACTATCTTCATTAGTGGATATTACAGTTAAGAAATTCTTGCCCTTTATTTAAAGCAGTGGAAGAAGTTTATTATAACTTTAAATAGCTCCTGCTCCATGTCTGGAGTTTAAGGCACCTACTGTGATTACCTCCTACTTTATAGTTTTTGCCAGCTTGCCTTCTAGAACCACTCAGTATCTCTCTTCCTTTAGGTAAGCAAACTTCAGAAATTATTTTTGGGGAAGGAGGGAGAACAATAATAAAAAAATCCACGTCCACAGGAGTTGCATACTGGTTGTAATGATATATTCCAAGCTTGTGTGGTTTTTACATTTATATAGTTTACATTTTGCTTGACCCATAAATAATACTTGCAAGATTAAGAGGGCCTTAGAGAGTATTTACATAGCCCCACCATGCATATAGAGCTTTTAATACCTAGTAGACAAAATTAAGCTGTTTTGCACTGAACATTTTTCAACTTAAACCCCCTGACTAAAATACAAGCAATATTTCATCCATAACACTGCTGTTAAACCCCTAACAAATCTAGTTTGATATGGTAACAAACTTCTTCAAATTCAGGGATATAAAAATATTCAGATTTTAAAATTTTAACTGTACAATATGTACATTAGTATTTGCACTGTTAAATTATGAATACATTTAAGCCTATGAAATACTACATTATAAATATCAACCTTTTTGACTTAGAATTGCAGCTAATACATTTTAAAACCTGGATAATGCATGTGAAAAGACACAATTCTGGAGCCTAATCCTTTAAGCCTGTATGAAAATATTTGTTATGTAAGTAGATCCATTGACTTAAATGGGGTTACATGCCTGAGCAAAGGACTCCAGCAGTGGTACCTCTCTCACTGCTGAGGGGTGGGGGCCATGGCAGAAAAAACATCACCACTCATTGGCAGCTAAGTCCAATTCCAGAAGCTAAATTAATATCTTCCTTTAAACAGGCATGAAAAAAACCCCAAACCAAAACCAGCCACCTCACACTTTCTCAAAAAATTGTAGAGGAAAAACCATGAAAGTTAAATGTACAAAACATTCACTGCTGTTTTAGGATACATCAAGGCTTCAAGCATTTCAGCTCCCACATTATGATTTTTGCTTTCTTAAGGAGCATTTTTCCCAAATAAAAAGAATCCAGTTTTTGTATGGAAACTTGAGCAAGGAAGAGTGAGCTTTATCCTGAAGAAAGGGCACAGTATAGAGCCTTCTTTTTCTTGGCAGCAAGAGGAAGAAGACATCACCCTGTGTGTCTATAACTACAGCACAGGACTGACATTTTTATTTATTCATCTTTGTTGAATCCTCTCTCTCAGATAATTCAGTGTAGGTGAATAGTGAGCATAAAATAAAACATCTACAAAAACTCTGTATTAAGAACTGCAGTAACAGTATTTTGACAGCTGAAACACAGTATGTAAACCTAGCAGTATCTGAGCAGATCATTTGGCGTGG